GAGCGTTGGGGTCTATAGGTGATGATGGCGGTTCAAGCTAAACGTGTGGGAATGACGGCTTTATCTCATCCTCCCAACGACGTCCACAATGTTTCACCAAAACTTCTCTCTGTCTCAGATTAACTTGATGCATAAAAGATACGCGTAAATGAACCATTTCCGACGCCGTACCTGGCCAGAACAACCCTGACAAGGAAACGCATACGATAAGAATAGGCCTCGAACACTCCACTACCCATTCGTCTTATCATACGTAGCAGCAAGGCAGAGGGTTGCGAGGACGTCATTGCAAAGTCACTCAATGGACCCGAGCACAGTCGCCCCCCGAAACTGCCGATAGTGCTCGGGAATGGTCCCAAAGCAAACCAACCTCTATTGTGATTCTGAACGGGTAGGCGACGGAATCTCGAACGTGATATTGGTAACATTGGTATGCAGTCACATTTGGACAATGCAGTAGAGCACAGCGAATCCATCTTTCTTGCCGCCATCATGGAAAGACGCGAAATTATGGGGATTGGGACGTCTTGGCCTGCTCTGCTCGCTTCCAGCAACAAACTCGGTCTTCTGCCTGGCACGGCATGAGAGGCAGCTTCGCCTTCTAGAACTGTCAACAAGTCTGCTACTTGCCGAACCAACGTATAGCGAGACTCGTTGTGTTGTAGCCGGCTTTCATGCTACCTACCTGCGCCAAGCCCCCGAACGCCTCACCCCAACGTTCCACAGGCTACACCGTTCTAAGTCTGACCTCCTTTCCCATCAATCCTCGACATTAACGACTGAACCTGATATCCTTTCATGTGCGTAGCTTGTGCTCGTGCAGTAAGGAAATGGGGACAAGGTACTTAGGTGGCGAAGTGCTCTCGCAGCACCTCTTTGTTGCTCATCTTCGTCTCGGAAGTCGGAACCGTCTAACACACTCACCCCGTTCAAAGCACGGGCCAGGGCCTAGTTGTCATAAAGCCAATGGCAATATATTTCATTCTCTCTTAACCGTGGCCGCCGTCACAACTTGGCACTCCTGGCTTCACGATCCGCTTGAATCTCGTTTAGAGACTGCTACCCTGGATCTAGGTCATTCCCCTGGTGGATCGATGTCTAATACTGTCGACGTGAGGTGACGAAAGGTGTCAAGAGCGTATTGTCCGGTTTCCTCGATCGACCCCCGCCAATTGATGTCTCCTCTTTGTTATCACCATCACAACCCACCGAGGCATCTGACACTTGGAAGGCCTTCAGGGTTTCCTATAGGATTGCTTATCACGCTCAGATTGACACACGTAGGCACTCCGGGATACCCAATTCAAAGAGGTACAACAACACCCTTGTTTTGTTTTTTCTCTATCGCGAAGCTGACCACTGACACTTTGTGGGTCCCCTTCAGCCCTGGGACACATCCAATCCTTATAACCGCCCATGAATCCTCAAAACCTTTACACAGTCTCCTCTCCAATTCCCCAGCCATGGACGTGTTCTGCACGATACCAGGCAACCCTGACATCGCTGGTATTGGCGTACGTATCGCCATCTACGCTCAGAACATCCTCAGCTTCTTCCCTGCTCTCTGGGCTCTCTGGGATGGCATAGTCACCCAAGAAGAGCTCATCTCTGCGGAAATCCAGTCTACCACCAACCTCGTTCTTGCCTTTGCCATTCTCATCTCGTCAATCGTCCAAGCCCAGACGTTGGGCTTGGATACTTACCATGGAAATATCGTTTTGAACATCAGCTGGATGAACAACACGAATGTCTTCATCTATTTCTTGCTCTATGTGCGGTATAAGAGCCAGCCAGGCAAGGGACACGTTGAACTACGGTGGTCTGCTTGGGTGACCCATGTCAAGCACCAGTTGGCGTCCCTCTTCGTTTCAGTCAATCCGGGTGGTAAGTTCCGTCTCTCATCCTCTGCAACAAAGGCTGATAGTTCTCATCTAGCAGACCAAAGGCTGGGAGCAAGTGATCCAGATCTAGAGACCAGCCCACGAGAAACGCAAGTTGGTGTGTACATTCCCATCGTCACTGTTGGCTATCTCACTGAAATCCTCACAGCCGCACCAGAACCAAGCGCCAAACTCCTGGGAAAGTCCCTTGTCAAGCGTATTGTGCTCTTCGTCGGGTCGTTCCATCTCACAGTCATGTCCGGGCTGGGCATCTGGCTCTGGAGTCGCCCTCACTCTTTTGGTGTCGAGACCAACGACGCTAACAAGTGTGCGGTAGAACATGCGCTTGTGTCTATTCTCGGTACACGCATTCCACTAGGCTCAAACGCCTTGAGAATATTTTCCCTTGTCCTTTACTCTCTCTTCCTCGTCCCCGGGTTCAACCTTCTCCTTCCCTCAGCGGCGTTTCTCGGGCTGCACATCTGGTGCAGCAAGCCCAAAAGCCCAACCCGCTCTTCCACATTCCCTCTACCCACGAATCGTATCAAGCTGGCTTTCAGACCCCTCCTGCAGCTTACCCAAAAGAGGCGCGACGTCCTTCCCGCATTCATTGGCCTCGCCATCCTCCTTGTTATCAACCTCATCTTCGTCATCGACATTGAACTTACCCTGGTGCGGAACAAAGGCCTTCAGCTCGAGGGCGAGACCCAGTGGGGATTCGGTCAGATCCTGGCTATGCTCTTGGTTCTCTTGCCACTGCGCGACATTGCAGAGGCGGTTTTAGCTCGCAGGATGAAGAACAGGAAGAAGGAAATCGTGGAGGACCTCGAAATGGCCGCCAAAAGGCGTGACTTTGCTGCTTTTTGCCGCGCACTTGAGCGTGGCGCTAAAACGAGAAGGGCGGTGTTTGAAGGTATGCACGCTTTACCCACCGATCGCCTCTGGGGTTACAAACTCACGACCACCAGAGGACTCCCTGCACTGGCTGCTGAAGACAGCAGCAAACGATGGACATTTGTGGCTCATGAAGAACCTCATCTATGAGCCGCAGCATGTCGACATCAACTCCCACTTGACGTTCAAGATCTCTGATCGGGCAACGACCTCGCTATTGCAGTTCGCCGTCGAGAAGGAAGACGCTGAGCTGGTGAAGTTACTTCTTAGTCACCCCGATATCGACGTCAATGGCCAATCGTCTTCCGAGGAATCCCCTCTTTGGAACGCTGTGTCGAGGCGGAACGTCGTGATCACCAAGCTACTCCTTCGACATCCCAAATTGAAGTCAACACGAAAAGGAAAACCGACAAGAACGAAACTTTGCTGCATCTTGCTCTCAGCCGTCGAAGAATCGAGATCGGCATTATAACGCTTCTCCTTCAACACCCCTCCCTCGAAACATCTTTGAGGGCGACGCCTACAAATTCTCTCCACTTCTCACAGTTGCATCGCGATGGGGCCACGCTGATGTAGTCAAGATCCTCCTGAAGGTCCCTGGAGCGGATCCGAATGTTGTACCCATGGGGCCTGGGGCTCATCCTTTGATTGAAGCGTCAGCAGTTGGCGCCGAAGCAGTCGCCGAGGCCCTCCTCGAGGATCCTAGAATCGATGCCACGACTGGCAAAGTCGGAACGCGAGCTTTGCGAGTGTCAAGAACCCGAAAGGTACTCGAGCTCCTCCACTGGCATCAATACCCCAACATTGAACTGGTTGACCCCGGAGACGGATTTGTAGTGGCGTTGCATCAGGCAATGAACCTCCGATCTCCTTCCGTACTGGAGAGCCTTCTTCAAGACCCCAGGATCACGTCCCAGCAAAAGCGATTTGTGCTTGCCTTTCTTTGTGTTGGTCGATACGACGAAGAAGATGAAGAAATCTTGGATACTCTTCTCAGGTCTCCACATACCGACATCAACTGGGTCCACCCAGGAGCGCCAGGCCGGGGTCGGTTTCCTTCCATATGGCAAGATCAAACAGTTCTGACGCTTGCGGTCCAAGATGGTGAAGATCGCCATGTTGCGAAGCTCCTTGAACATCCCGGAATCGACGTGAATGCTCAGGCAGGCAACGGATTTACAGCTTTGCTACACGCCTGCCAAAGAGGCTACCATATCAAGGCCCAACTACTGCTGGGACATCCAGAAACCGACGTCAATTCGCACGGCGGTGGTGGGGCGACGCCCCTGATGTTTGCCGCCAAGAGCGCGGGGGCAGAGGGGACATATTCACATCTCGCCATCGTTGAATCCCTCCTCCAGAACCCAAGCACAGATCTGGACGCTATCGACTCGTCGGGAAAAACGGCCTATGTGATGGCCTGCGACCGAGCGCTTGATGCCTTACCCTGTGAAGTGGTTCCTGCATATCTTGGTATGAACCAGGAAGACCTGGACGCTATCGACTACTCCAGAGGAACAGCCTGTGTGGTAGCCTGTAATCGAGCGGCCAACGCGAAATCCTGTCCGGCGGTTCATGGCCGTATCGGCCTAGAGCCAGTCAAAATCCTGCAGAGGTTCCTAGAATGTCCGAGGGGTAATACCCCGCCCTCTCGCGCGTTCCTCGCTGTCCTCGATAATGCTTGCCGAGAAGAGGATATCAGTACCGTCAGGCTGCTTCTCAAGAAGGGGATGCCTTTGGACGCATTCTCCAACCGGGGTGATACAGCGTTGATGATTGCTATGAGCTGGGCTTATGAAGAAGCGATTCAACTGATCCTTCAATGTCCAGGGCTTGATGTGACGGTTCGGAACAGCCAGTTTGGCTACGATGCGAGGGAGGCGTTAGGACAATTTCGTTCGGTGGCCTTTACTGTGAAGCGTATACGGATTCTAAAGATGATCGACGATTATGAGCAGAAGGAAAACAACGGCCTAATGACCTCTGGTGGTGTTGGTGGCGGAGGAGGAGGAGGAGGTGACTGACGGGAACTAGTTACATTAGAATACATGGCGTGTTGAATAAATATAGATTTGGTAGAAAAGGTTTATCAAGATAAATATACTTTTATGGGTCTTTTTCTAGGGTGACCATTGTTCAAGAGAAAGGATAGTTCAATGTGCATCCGAAGCCAGAGTGCTCGCAGAATCACACCGTATTATATTGGTCAAGCTAATCCGTCAGCAGTCCGATATGGTGTAACGGCTAACATTACCGCCTTTCAGGTCGAGGGATTGAACCCCATGATCGCGGTAGCTCGGGGTTTCGATTCCCCGTATCGGAAGATTTTTTTTAACCTTTTTTTTCTTCAATCTTCTGACTTTTTTCTTGTGAAAAACGCACGGGGTATCCCAAAGGTCCTGCTTTTCTGGCAGCATAGGGCATGGATGAAGTTTAATTAGGGTAAATGGGTAGTTTTAAGGCCTTTTCTCCACGCGCACCGTCTGGCTGACAGCTTCACTTGATTCTCTATTGAATACATCGGTACTATTACACTCATCAAGGATCCTCCCTCTGTGGTTTCGTTCGTCCAGGGTGATGAAGTCTCTGGGTAAATGACTATATCTACAGAAACGAATCGTAGGGAAAGATCCCATGCGTGGCTGCTAGCCCCAAAGGGTTGCACGTCGAATGGATCTTCACATGGGCTTTGCGGGCAGTTGCGTGAGCAGGACACCGTAACGCTTCTTGACAGTGACGCGATGGCGGGAGAACTTGTCATCGGGAGAGAAACGGGCTGGAGAGATTGAGGCGGAACATTCAAACCAAAAGGCTCAAGGGAAACATGGATAAGGTCGTACCTGGATGGGCAGACCTGGTGATCCGGCCTTCGTCCGTCAATTTCTGTTGAAGCAAGGTCAACACTGGACAGAGGACAGAACTATACGAACACACTTTGAGGGTATATACCCTGTTGCCTGAGGCATCCAACGTGTACATCAAATGCATGATCGCTATTCGTTGAGCTCGTCGTCGGATGTTGGTGGAAGTCGAAAAAGAACCTGCAATTTTGCCCCTATTTGATTGTGAGGCTCACACGCATGTCCGACGCGGAACTTGTGCCCCTATCTCGACCAGGGACTGTGTCGTTAATTCGAGATGTTGCACGAACATCGAGGAACAGCCATGCGATGCCAATCTCGTTACCCTTTTCATCCTGCTATGCAACCCGTGACGTGGCTCCCCGCTTCTTTGGGTTTAAACGCCCGGTCCCGAGGCTGTACTTGTGTTCTTAAAGGAGCGCCCAAAGTCATAATGATAGCAATCCATCATCCCCCCGCTGCTGTTGTAAATGGCTGAGCTCGCAGCAGGCGCTTTAGGTGGGCTGGCCACGGTAGGGGCTGCAGCACTCGGTTCTGCGATGGGGTTCACAGCTCGACACGACCACTCGCATGACTGTCAGGTCGACCTGGCTCAGCGGTTCATGCATACGTTTGAAGAGGCTCACAAGCAAGGCAGTGTTGATGATAATGCATTCGAGGTCTACTTGATAAAGAAGGAAAGTGAGTTGAAGGTCTAAAGTGCAATGCGTGAGCCTAACAACGCAAAACTTTTAGTGCCCAGAATAGAACGAGGGCGTATTTTGAGAGTATCGAAGATTTTAAAAACATCAGCTGCTTCAGGGTTTACAAGAAGATTCAGCAGAAAAATGTGGTTCGGAGGAACAAGCGGGAGGTGCGGAGAGCGATTCGGGATTTGAGAGAGCACTATGATGTAGGACATTCACTCCTTCCTCGCGCTTCGGGTTCTAATGGACGGTTCTTTCACAGAGCGCAAAAGCGTTTGCGACCTTTGCATCGGACTCGTCGTCGATTACTGCAGTGTCAGGGACGCCGACTGAGGCAGCCCATGGGCGCTTCAAGGTGTCTGATTGGCTGGATAGGGAGGAGCTTCATACGGTTTCGATGGTCACAGACTATGAAGAAGACATGGGGCTTTGCTGATATAAGAGCATTGAAATAACTGTACAATATGGATTTCTGTTCGCGCCGAGACTTGACCTTGTTGATAGGGATCGAATGCTTTGAATGTGTTTACCCCGCATCAGACGCATGGCAAGCGCGCGCCAAGTGCCTTCTGTGCGTGTTACGTCCATCTCTCAGAATGCCATCCCATCGTTCACGGTCACGGTCTCGCTCACAAGAGCGTAATAGGAAGCGACACAGGTCGCGAGAACGGTCGAGGGATCGTCACCGTGACCGTTCGCGCTCACGTTCGCCAGAACGGCCAGTAGACCTCCCAGATGGTGCTAAACCACTGACGGAGAAGGATTACTTCCAGAGAAGTGACGAGTTTAGGCTGTGGTTGAAAGAGGAGAAAGAGAAGGTGCGTGTACAGATAAACCTCGAGAGCCTTTGGCTTAGCATCGGGTCAGTACTTTGATGAACTATCTGGGGAACGTGCTCGGAGGTGAGTTGTTCAGCCCACTTGCAGGTTGCTCGCTCATTCAAAGCAGCTATTTCCGAAAGTTCATAAAGGTCTGTAAACAACACTCTACATCCATCGCCGAAGCTCATGTCAGAGAAGGCATGGAATAGAGGCAAGCTTTCTCGTGAGTCCCATCCCGACATCCCTCCTTCAGGTTATGAACAAGACTGTCAGGGAAGTATTACCGGGGCATCGAACCTGGGACGTTGACTGCTACCGCCAACACCTCGTACAAGTGGTCCTTTGCTGCCAAAGGTAACCGAGCTGATAACGAAGCCCTGAAGAATGCTCGTGCAGAAGTCGGAGCAGCTACCTACGGTCGCTCTGTCCGCGACGACGACTACGATGATGACGAGGGGGCCGATGCCGTCCTCAAGTTCACGCCCAAACGGTGCCTCTCGACTTCAAGGACCGACCCTTCCCTCTGCCGCTGACCTTACCATGGCTGCTGAGCTCGACAAGGAGCAGGAAGCAGAGCTGCGAGCCTACAAACGCAAGCGGGAGAAGATGGAGGCAAAAGAGCGAGTAGAGGATATGGTGGGGCCGAAACCTGTCGGAAGAGAGGCCATGCTCGAGAAGAAGAGGGCGAGGAGGGAGAATGATAAGGCGTTCAGAGAAAAGGGCGATGAAGGCCTTGAGGTTGACGAAGATACTCTGCTAGGTGGTGGGGATAGTTTTCCAAGCTCAGTGAGTTGATGTGCCTATGCTCGGATATGCATCTCAGATTCCCTCAGGTTGGCCAGACGAGACGCAGCAAAAAAGCGCAATGAAGCAAGGCGTTCTGAAGATGTTGCTTTTGCGCGAGAACGTGCGACGGTGTTGAAAGAGAAAGACAAGGTCTGTAGCCGGCTCTATGTCACGATCCCTCCTCAAGCTTACGGATGTCATAGGCCACGATGGACATGTTCCAGCAGCTTGCAAAGCAGCGATTCGGCTGAAAGGTTCAGATAACAATTTGCCCTTCACTGCCAATTCACTGCTCGTAATTAGATCTGCGGGGTCATCTGAAATCCATGCGATTACACGGCCCGTCTTACCAAGCTATTAGTTCTGGAAAGGTCTGAGCTCCGCCCGCGATGCGTAAGACCGAGATCATGTGACTGCCTCACCAAGCGGATTGCGAAATCGTTGCATGACTCCGTGGTATAAGAGCAGATGAACCTTGTGTGGAGGTCATTACCCACATTAGCTCACTGTTCAATATGTCCACAGATGAAGGAAACCCGGTCCCGTACATCAAGTCTAAAGAGGAATTCGACCAACTCGTACGTCGACTGCAACCACTTGAAGGTTGACAATGCTGATCCCGCGCAGATCAATGGTGACAGGCCCGTTGTCATCGACTTCACGGCCACCTGGTGCAGCCCTTGCAATATGATCGCCCCGGTATTTAGGGCAATGTCCAACGAAGCTCCTGGTCAGGGTATAGACATGGGCTTCTACAAGGTCGACATCGACGAACACGCAGACCTCGCTCAGCCATATGGTATCAGTACTGTATGTCCCTGATCGACGTCAACAGCTGTTCTGCATTATTCTAAACGTTGATTCTTAGATACCCACCTTCATGCTCTTCCAAAACGGCCAGAGAATCAAAGAGCCATTGAAAGGTGCTAATCCAGACGGGTTGACGGTAAGGCCCCTTCCATGGCGTCTAACTTGAGCTTGTGTCTAATGACGGCGAAATTTATGCAGGCTCTTACCGGCGTTCAGCTCAACAAGTAGCTCAAACGTTACGATATTCAACAAAAGGAATGCAAATGTACCATATATTAAGCAATGTCACCAGTGTTTCCACGGCTTTCCCTGACTTTTGTATGAGTGCAATGCAGTAGGGTCCGTCAGTTGGGTAAGGCCCAAGCGATCACCAACGCAGGCCCCATTCCAACATCCCGTTCTTTGCCGGCTGTCTTCGATGGATGTTAGGAGAGATGAGGCTCACCGACGACCTTCATCATCTCAGATCCCACTCTGAAGTCGACATGAGTCAATCAATAATAAGCATTGGCGAACGAGGGACGAATGCCAACGAAGCTTCGCCCGAACCGGCCGTGGGGCAGTTGTTCAAAGAGCTGGTCACCCTAATGCCTACACAAGAGCCCCATCGCAGGAGCGACACTTGGACACCGAAGACAATAGGATAAGCAGTTTATCAGTATAAGGTCCTCGTACACTTAAGCTGTCCTCGGGAACGACCTCGATGTCGGTGAGTGATCCTGGACAGCAGAAGGAGTGCGTGATTGACGATGGCAACAGCTCTGGTTTCCCGCTGTGTTTCTGTGTTGTGGACCGGACGTCGACTTGCAAGGGCAATTACTGAAGCTCAAACGACACGGATACGTTCGGCAACACCTATCGTTGGCCGCCATCGGTGCTCTCCCTCCTCTCCCCAGGTAAGTGATGAAGGGTCGAGTACCCTCACCCAAGCCACACAATCCAATGGACGTGACGAAGAAAGTCGATCGATTCGGGTCTTACCGTTGCGTGCAAGACCTCCATTGTTCCTACCTCCACCCTTCTAACCCCTCCCCAACCCCTTCTGCTGCGGCAAGTGAAGATGTGAGCATGGGACGTCCACCAGGGTCTCCGAACTTGACGAGGGAAACCCAACCTAGACCACCCTCATGTCAATGGCAAAGACCGAGCAAGACCAAGTTAGAGGCACAGGTGAAGCCACAGCCAAAGTCAAGGAATGAAGATTCCCGCTGCTGCGACCCGCATTTTTTCTATTTCTGAGTCAACAACCAGTACGCTTGTGCCCATGCATAAAGAGGGTAGGTGAAGAGTGAGGCGGAGGCAGTGGGGCAAGATGGGAAGGTGATGGCGCCCGCCCGCCCCGTCATCAAGGATAATTTT